TGTATATATATATACATATATATTATTCATACCTTCGGTGTATAGGATGCAAGCAGATTTTGACATCAAATTTTGGGGTAAAAAAAGTGCATCTTATACACCAAAAAATATGGTATGTATCACTTCTGGTAGGCTGAAAGTATGCAAGAAAAAAATTTATATTTTTATGTTTATTGGTTGAAAGACTAACCAACTATCAAGCTTAAATCTTTTTGTCATTTCTTAATATGATGATATTTTCACAATTTAAGGATTAGTCGTTCACCAAGTATAAGTTTTTCATACCAATTCAGACAGATTGAAGGTTTATCAATATGTTCATCAGTTAAATGACTAGTAAGTTATCAAATATAAATTTCACAATGTTTAGTATACTGTATATTGAGAGAATGTAATGCAGTTTGAACATCATTAATTCAGCTGGTGAAGGACTAATCAACCACCAATTATAAACCCTTCATACAACTTCAGATAGGTTAAAAGTGTTCAAAGGAAACTAGGAGTTAATACATTGATCTAATTTAAAAAAATCTTATTTGTTTTTATTAAAATTTATGCATGATATGTTTGGATGTTAGGTGGAAGGTATTTTTACCTTACATTTTGACACTAGAAGGGCTTGCATTATAGCTTATGTTTCTATTAACAAGATCACATTTAGTAGCTGTTATTCTATTCTAAGAAGTGATATATATATATATATATATATATTTGGTTATTATACTGAACTGTCACAAACCCTAATTCAAACATTTTGAATCTTAGAATTATGTTGTATATGAAACTAGAAGACACTTAAATTCTTTGTTACAAAGTATTTATTTATGTAGCAGGCATCATGCAAATTCCAGAAAGAAAAACTTTTTTCTTTTAGTCAACTTCCTTTGATAACTATATATACATTTTATCTCAGCATCTTTTACATTTGGTTTTTTGTAGATAAGACTTAAAGTCCACCATCACACTTTGCTAGAGCTACACCCTCAGTAGTCATGTAATAGTTTGGTGTAATCACTTCCTTTTCACAGACATTGTACATTATAAACAAAGAAATATTTTTTACATATCTTGCCTTTGGATTTTTTTTTGTTATTTAATACAATTGGAAAGGGATTTGAAATTGGCCCTCAATTTAACTGATTTTTGTAAAAGGTTTCAGTGAATATCTGAGAAAATTTAAATTTGTAACATTTCCACTGTAAAGCATTTCAGAATATGTTTATTTCTACAAACTAAATAAAATTTAGATATATATATATACATTTAGATGTTTAAAATGTTCATATTAAGCAAAAACATTTGAAGATGTCTTATGATTTGTCAACAAGCTGATTGGGAAGTACAAGATATATCTCCAGTCAGTGTGGAATATACAGTTTCTTTTGTAAAGCAAAGAATTTCAATAGCAAGAATGAGCATTCATTTTTTTTATGTAATATTTTATTTGTAGACTAGTGGTAAAAACTATTGTGGTGAAAAGTAGTTAAATAAAGCTATGCTTAGAGAAAATAGATAATGTCATTTTATATAATGTGTGTGTGTGTAAAATGTGTAGATACACAAACACACACCTTGATATTAAATCCGTAGTACCATTGCTCATGAATTATTGCATGATATAAATGAATGTTCTAGGTAACCAAAAAACAAGCAACACCTAAAAAACCTCAGACCAGTAGATCATTAAAAGACAAAGAAGAATTTCTTGATCTGTCAGCTTCCCAAAACATAAGACAAAACCAAAGTTCATCAACTAGTAATACCCAGCCTGAGAAGACAAACCAACAATCTGACCATCAAAGCACAAGTAAAAACAACTCTGAAACAGCAAAGAAAGGTTCACGGCTAACAAGTGGACAACAAGAACACAGACATCGACGTTCTCGACTAGCTGTAAACTTTAAAAATGCTGTAGACTGAGGACACATTTTACTCATGGAAGATAAGACAGATATACATAATCCTGTTTGTGTGTGTGTATATAATCATGTTTGTGATTGTTGTGTCAATGACATTTATTTTAAGAGAATTTTACAAAGAAAATCTGTTTTGTCTTAGGAGTGATTCAGTGCATGGGAAAATAAGCTGATTTTTCTTTTTACTACAAATTATTGTACTTAATACATTACTGATGGAACCATATATAGTTATTTAATGGTGTAAGTCACTACTGTTTATACCTGTTTGGAATAAACAATATTTTGAATAGGGAAGTGCTCTGATTAAAATTTGCCACTTTTCAGGTTTCAGACTGTTATTTTGATTTTATTATCAAAAGCAGGTAATTGGAAGAGACATGTACAATAATTAATATCAAACTTTTGTGGGTTAATGAGGACTATAGCTAATACAAGAATAATTATTTGAACTAAAACAGCATGCCCTGGTACTTCTGGGCTGTATAAGGTGGTGATTTTTTTATTATTATTATTTATTAGAAATGCTGTTTCTGCTATTTAATGACACTTAGTCTGATTTGGAAAGCAATTGGACTGCTGTATTTCCTTTTCATATATGTGTTGTGCCGTGAAATGTGTAGTTTGCATTCTTGTTAAATGTTGTGGTGTAATTACAAACAGTTAAGCAGTCAAAACTTGCATACTAATATTTTATCAATAACTGTTGAGTGTTTAATACTGTAAACTTACAACATTACACACTCTCAAGTAATCAATTAAAATATGGGTATGTAAGTCGTGACTGCTAAACTGTGTGTAAGACAGGTAGAGGATTTTCTTAAAAATTAATCAATTAAGTCCTACTTTTAGTGACATTTTCAAGCAAAAATGATGTACTTCTATCATTGAGTTTATATTATGATTACAAGACGAAGTCTGCCTTTAAAACTTCTATTCATATACAGGTATGGTTTTGCAACACATTTTTGATTATTAAAAACTTGTATGAATATAGAACACGTATTTGTATAGAAAGACTTTAGTTGAAACTTTAATTATGCTACAATTTGGCCTCTTTTCCATTGAACAAACTTGGCCTCTGTTTACTTTTTTCTCACCATTGTGCTAATCTCACTCATCCCACCACCATTATGCTAACTTTACCCACCCATATTCTTTTTCTTTTCTCCCCCCAATTTGATAACTTGGTCAGTATTCTCTTCCTTTTCCACTACCATTGTGTGTGCTAATTCCAAATTGTTTCCATGTAACAAAAAAATACTGTAAGTAAAAGGCTTTTAATTCTATTATATGTCCTTGGCCATACTTTTTACTGTGTTTGTGAATTATTTTCTGAAGATTTTGTTTCAGTATTAACCTTATTTTCCTCAACAACTTTGTTTTAGATCTGGGTTATTTTGCATGGATTAAAAATGAAATGACATGAATTTTTGATTTCAGTCAGCCTATTAACTGAATTTTATCACAAAAAAAATTATTTCTGCAAAACCTCATGTAACATTGTCCATGTGTTTTATATTCTTAAGCAGATGAACAACAATAACAGATTTTGTTTATCCATCTTAGACAATCCGTAGCTGTATACCTGAATGTATGTAATCATATTTTTTGTATTACATGTATCTTTGTAGATTTAACAATAAGACTGCTGTAATGTAAAAAAGATAAGTTCTAACAATTGAAGTACATGCTACTCTGATAGTGCCCCATATATCTCAGTACATTCTGTTGTGTACAGGTAATCACTAGTTCAGATATATATTTATTTTCCAAGAAGATAACTTTGTGTATCTTTTAGTTGTTTAATTCATATATATATTCCCTTGTTCAAATCACAATTTTCTATGTATAGTTGATTTTTTTTTCTGTTTATATCTTTGAATGTTTGTTTTTTATGAGGTTATCAATGGCCATATAAGAACATTGCATAAATTTATCAGATGATCCTGGTTGTAGTTGATCCAATCAACTGAGTTATAGTCTTAAGAAATAGCTTAGCTGAAATCTAACCAGTCAATGCATAACATTCAAATAAAATGATTCTACGAAAACAGCCCATTTATTTTGATGTAATGAACTTTCTAAATGAAAATAAATCTTTTTTCGTTTCACTTCTTTTGAAAACTTCATCTACTTTCATTTTGCTACCTTTATATCTATGAGATTTATTTGTGTTCATGTGTGGGAGAAAATAAAACCATAAAAATTAACAATAAAGATTTTTATACATGTATCAAGGATTGTAACTTATATATAGGATTCACAAAGTTTATTTTTGTCACCCTCTACATAAAATAAGATATGTGCTTATTACTTTTCTCCATTTTTAATTAAATTTGTAAGTGATTTGTCAAAAGTAACTTAGATATTTTTGTTCTATTTTGATCAGTTTAGTGGACTTGTATTTAGATTTCTTACACATATTTAGAGAGATCAGTCACTGATGAAGACATACTTAAGCAGAATTACAGGGATATTTTAAAATTTGAAAAGAAATAACAATAAACTGTTCTCGAAAAACTGGATGTCGAGGCATCCAAAACTATCAGTTTAATTAAACTACCTTACAATAGTAATTAGGAATATGTTCAAACTGTTAGTGATTGTTCCCCCAGTGGGTCAGTGGTAAATTTATGGACTTACAACTCTAAAATCCTGGATTCACTTCCCTGGTTGTTGTGGGCAAAATGCAGATAGCCTGTTGTGTAGCTTTATAGTAACAACAAATTGTTAGTAATTATACTTTGACACTATGAAAATATCCAAAGCTATCAGGGCTGTGTGGAGTATCTGAGTCCTTATCAGCAACTTCCATCCAGAACTGAAGACATTGGTGGAATCTCATCCTGGTATTAATTGTGATTATGAAAGAGAGAGCCTTTGACCTGGCACACTGGTAACTGTTGGTGAAACCAAGCAGATCACATCCTCTATGTCCAAGTGGGTGGCAAGAGATAATCTAAACCTGTTCCTAAAACATTTCAAGCAATTCTCTGTCTAGAATAGATGGATTCAGGAACAGGCTTTGTAGTGCTGAGCTTAGACAGTCTGGCCCTTGATACTGATAAACCTCTGGATGAGGGGCAGCAAGATGATTTAGAAGCAGTTGTGTACAAGATCTGCAAATAATTTGAACCAGTAGAAAATAGGGGGATCTATCGAGCCAAATTCAAGGCTCATTAGAGTATTGGTACCAAGAAATTGAACACCTGCACGAATGATCTGTGATGATTGCATGGGATGGCATACCTGACAATGGTATCTGCAGATTGTGATAATATCCTAGTTAATAAGGTCATTGAGGGGTTCCCAATGAGCTTATGTGATGATAACTAGAATGGAAATACATCATCTCTCTCTCACAAAAGTGGTGTTTGTGAACATTAGGCTAACCATAATTGAAGGGTTATCAACCAGCCACCTCCACAGGACAGAAATGCAGTACAATCACACTGGTCTCCAGTGAGTCAGCAGGGATATGCAGATCTGCCCCTGGGGTATATGCTGCAAGGTCTTCCTATGGAATAAACATTGACAGTAGCATTAACTTGAGCAGTATCTGTCAAACAAGGGAGGAAATTCCCATGTTGCTTTATAAGTATTGGTGATCAGCTGGATGGGTGTTTGTCAACGATCATGCTAATCTGGACCAAAAACAGCAAAAGCAACTAGGTGACTTGTTAGGTCAATATGATGATTTATGGAACCAGATGGCGGACTGGGAAAACAGTGGTGACTCAGCGTCACATATAACACATGCATTGTATGTCCAATAAAGCAACCACTGCACCAGCTTCCTTGGAGCACTAGGAAGGTCAGAAGTGCTGAAATACAGTGTATGCCGCAGGACAAAGTCATATAACCTTTGTAGAGTACTCGATTGTCTCTGATAGTGACTATCAGGAAGAAAGAAGGTAAATAAAGTTAAAATCATAAATAATATTCAACGTTAAACTGGTACAGAGTTAAAAACATTTTATTTAGGCCTATCTATGGCCTTCAAAAAGTTGACGACGGCTACATGTTTCGACGTAACAGCGTCATCCTCAGGAGTGAATTACAAGACAATTGCCAAAGTATTTATAGCTTGTTAGTAGGTCATTGACCTATATGTTATTTTTCATATATTCATGCTAAACCATTCAAAGGAGATCAATCCAGATTCTTGCAGAAATATTCGCCAAACCTTCATCTCTATTTAATACTACATGATCTTTTTTATGTTTTATTATTTCTAACGATTCACGAATATTATTACCTATTACACTTTTAGGTTGAGCTAATATTATAGTTTTTCCCATAATATTGTGTGTTGTGTTTTCTGTACATGTTCTGTAATTTTTTTCATAACAAGGTTTTAAAGTACTAACTTCATCAATTATTATAGTGTTAGTGAATTTTTAATTGCCCTATCTATAAGATCTGGATTAAAACCTCTTTCGACTGTTATATATTTAATTAATAACAATTCGTTTTTTAAATCATTTTGGTTAGTACATATCTTCAAAGCTCTGTTAACATAACTATAAAATGCAGACATTTTTTGTGACCTAGTATGAAATGATTCTTGGTGTGGGGGCATAAGTACAGAAAAAGGTTTCTGGTAAACTGATGTTTCTAAATTACCTTGTACATATCTGTGCCACTGGGGGGCCGTATAAAAAAAGGACGCTTAACGCTAATTCATTAGTAAATTAAATCGTCATAAAAAAAGGATGCTTAATACTAATAACAACATGCATTTTCCAGGCACACAATACATGACTATAGGTTTACGTTGCCCTAAAGAGTGATATCACAGAGTATTTAAAACTTGTACTTTATACAACAGTTTACATCCTCAGTAAAACGTTTATTATGCAATAACACTTTTACTAATTTGTGACAAAACAACAAAAAAGGTCTGGCATGGCCAGGTGGTTAGGGTGCTCCACTCGCAATCTGCGGGTCGCGGGTTCGAATCCCCGTCCCACCAAACATGCTCGCCCTTTCAGCTGTGGGGGCGTTATAATGTAATGGTCAATCCCACTATTCGTTGGTAAAAGAGTAGCCCAAGAGTTGGCGGTGGGTGGTGATGACTAGCTGCCTTCCATCTAGTCTGACACTGCTAAATTAGGGACGGTTAGTTCAGATAGCCCTCGTGTAGCTTTGCGCGAAATTCAAAAACAAACAGACAAAATAACTTACACATGTTTTACAAAGGCGGACTTTAACATATACTTAATTACTTTTGTTACCAAGTTGTAATGTTTGAACTTTGCAAATGCTCCTGGTCAAATATCTGAAGTTTTCCGATTGATAAGCGTTATAACAATCACAGTTATAGCTCTCGAAGTTTATACCACACCGACTGTAGCGAACTAATAATAGATACTCTCTTTGGCGCATTGCGTCGGTTATATTCATAGCTGTGTAGAGGCGTTCTAGAAATTTCAGTTTTACATAACAATACTGAGCTACATTTAAGCGTTTACGTATATACATATATTGTTGGTTCTTACTCTCGAGAATCTTCTACAACTTTGGAAAATAGGCGGGAATTTCGCAATATATATTTAACACTATAAGCTACGCAT